GGATAAGAGCTGTGTCCTCTGAAAACTGCAGTGAAGAGGTTTATTTTTAGACTCCAGCAGCACCGACCATAAAAGCAACATCATCCCAGAGAAAAAACAAGCTGCACGATGGTCTCAGACTGTAGTTTTGTCCAGTGATGTAAAAGCATATTTCAGTGTTTGTCCCTTTACATGTATGGACTCAGTTTAGTGATGACAGAAGGGTGTGTCGCTCGAGTTGACCAGCTCATACGCTTTAGTCCATTTACTGGAATATTCATTACACAGTCATCAGAGACGCTGCTTCACATAGATCATAATGAAAATGGCCCCAGTGACAGCTCGGAGGTGAGGATTATATTAAAGCTTAAATGTACAGACCACGAATAAAAATGACTTTTTTAAAGCAAAAATACTGATTTCAGACCCTCAAAATATAATATTTATTATGTCTTGTGAAATACAAACATGGATTTTTGGTGACTTGGGATATTAGGAAGGATATTTCTCACTGTTTTATGACACTTTACAGATCATCCAAATATTTGTCATTCAAAAAAATGCCTTAATCATGAAGTAACTGAAAGTTGCAGCACTAAATGTAGTACTAAATGTAGCTTGTTTTTGCGGGTTTGTAGGTTCAACCTGGACCCAGAGATGAAAGCAACTGATGAGATGCTGTGGGAAGCGCTGGAGATAGCTCAGCTGAAACTTGTTGTTAAATCACTTCCAGGAGGCTTGGGTGAGACATCTGTGTTTGTTCATATGTGTGTGTCAACTTTATCGCATTTGCAAACTGTTTATTTTAAAAGACACACAGAGAGTAAAGTGTGCTCACCCGGATCTGAACATTAAACAGAAAAATTAATTCTTTCTCAGAAGTTACATGTCAGCGTCACATCTACCAGCTGCTCGAGTGTCCCCATACAAAGATCGAGCCGCTGTATCAGATGACATGAGCATTCATTTTTAACTCGCTGCAGTGGCTGTTTTATGTGCTGCTGCTCCGTCCTGCACAGTCTTCTGCTCGTGGTTTTGACACAGGACACTAGACAGTTGCCGCCAGCAGGACGACTCGCGGCCAGATCAAATATTATCTGAAAGTCTAGTCAGAAAATCCAACGTGCATAAATGATGAATGCTTGAAGCGATGATGTTGCACGGGGCCGTCTTTGTGTGGACATTAACACTGGCGCGTGAGCACTTCCAGTTTATCACTCGATTCCTTACGTCTCTGCCGTCCTCTGGAATTCATCACAACAACAACAAAAGAAACGCTTCTCTTGTGAAATAAGCCTGCTGCTCATCTCACATGATCAATTTTAGTCTTGTGTGACACTGACGAATGTGTGTGTGTCAGGATGTGACTGGTTCAAGCTAAGCTGCTTGCAGCTTTAGTTTATGTCTGCTGGAACCAGATGTTCAGTAAGATATTGATCCCTGAGGCTGGAGCTGATGGCTAATTAAGTTCGTCCTTTGATTTGGTTTAAGCAACAATACAGTGTGCAATAGATTTATGCTGTGTGGTGAACCAACCTGAGTCCTTGTTACCGCCTTTATTATATGTTCATAATGGCAACTGTACAGTTTGAGGAATTAAAAAATAACCTTATTAATCATATTTAATGCAAAACACCAAACAATGCCTCTCAGTGTGACTTCACTGCATAATGCAGCTCACCCCTCCCATTATTTCTAACCCTTTACATTCACCTTGTAACTAGTTTGATTCCTGTTGGAAGCCTGTGTTTGAAGAGTGACACGCATCCTACTGTTGAATAAACCGAGCACCGGATCCTCTCGTTGTTTCTTCTTTCTGTATATAAATGTCAAACTTACATGACGTTACAAACAAAAAGAAAATCTCAACATTCAGCGAATTAATTCATTAATTATTTACCTAATGATAGATTTTTTTATTCTGTGTTAGGTTAAATCACTAGAGAGCTCTTTGGTTCTTCAAGCATTTTTGTGACTTAACCTTCATCATTTATAACACTGAGGAGAAAATGGGAAATCAATATCCTATTGATCTGCAATCCAAAACCTAAAGGCTAATTAACTTTACCCTCTTACTCTTTACACTCTTACTTAAGAAAATAACTGAACTACGTAGTTCCTCTGTAGTGTCATGTGTCGCAAAAAACAACAATAAAAATTGCTTCTAAATTCTGGAAATGATTGAAACATATTGAAGTGTATGTTTGTGTTTTCAGATGCCATAGTGACAGAAGGAGGAGAAAACTTCAGTCAGGGTCAGAGACAGCTGTTCTGTCTGGCCAGAGCCTTCGTCAGGAAAAGCAGTATCCTTATCATGGACGAAGCCACAGCATCCATAGACATGGCAACGGTGAGTGTGTAATTAAACAAAGAGCATCTTTAAGGCAGAGAGTGGAGAGCAAGTGTGAAGAGAGAGAAAAGAAATGAGAAAATCAGAGAAAGGGGAGGTGAAGGACAGACTGAATGATTTGTGAATACATGTGCAAAGGTAAAAGATTAACACTTTGTTCTTTTGTAGAGCAATATTACAAGAGGTACAGAACGAGAAAAAAATCTCAGCAGTTTTGGGAGTAAATGGTAAATGACCTGTATTTGTATAGAGCTTTACTTAGTCCCTAAGGACCCCAAAGCGCTTTACACTACATGTGTAACATGTAGTGTACATGAGTAAACCTTTAACTGATGCTTTTTGCATGCAGGGAGAAAAAGTGTAGGAGAAAACATGCATGAAGTGCCAAGAGAAAATCTGAAATAGAAGGAAAATACTGAGCACACCGAGAGCCTGAGGGGAATTTCAGGAAATGGTTGCTCCGTACTTAAAAGCCTCTCTTTTATACGATTGGCCACAAAGAGCGCCAGTTCCAGCTTACAATAAGGCAGCAGCACTGCCCTCAAGGAAACACGATTGAGCCTGTAAGAAGGGACGAGACAATGAACAAGAGATGATGGTTTGAACAATAAGGGTGAAAATGTGATTTTTTTTTTTAAACAACATGAATGATGATGTTAACTATCGAAAGCACCTTTTGTTTTTACACAAACTCTGAATCCCAGTGAAGATAAAAGCATGTTTGCTTAAACGAACCTCCCTGCCTCCATCTCCACAGGAGAACATCCTGCAGAAAGTGGTGATGACTGCTTTTGCTGATCGAACAGTAGTTATCATAGCAGTGAGTATATCCCCCTTGGCATTTAAAGTAATGCATACAGCTTCGGCATTATCACAAGGACTGCTGACCTTTGCACTGCACTGCTGACGCTTTAAACAATAGCTTTGCCGGCATTTTAACCTTGAAAAGCTACAAATACAGTGCTAGTTATTGAAAGAGGAAATCAAGGCATGTTTCTGGTCTTATTCTTTGTTATTGCAATTACATTATAGAGAAATAACAGAGGTAAAAAAAAAAAAAAGTATGATAAAATGTGTGGTGCTCACTTTTAATATTTCTCATGAAATATTTAAGAACAAAAGCCAAACAGCCAGAAACCTGATGAACTCTGGTATTTACAGTGGATGCAACCACACACTTAATTTACCAGCCAATATAAAGATGCGCATACAGCTTTTTCTATCGCAGCTTTGTTTCTAAACCGTCCGAGTGATCTAGCATTGGCTGGACTGCTCACTGCAGTAATTACTTTCTTCTGCTCTGTCGCGCAGCATCGCGTCCACACCATTCTCAATGCCGACCTGGTGATCGTGATGAAGCGGGGGATCATCCTTGAGTACGACAGACCGCAGGCTCTGCTGGACAAGGAGGACAGTGTCTTCGCCTCCTTTGTGCAAGCGGACAAGTAGCACAAGAGGAGGAAGAGTGTGGAAGCATTAAAGGAAGACATTCAAAGTGCAATTGATCCCATGGAATATATTCCTTTTATTTTTTAATCATGTTGTATTATATTTGTACATAAGAATGTTAATGCTTTGTTAATAAAACATAACTTATCCTTAAAGTGTGTGTCCAGAGTTATTTGTGCAGTGAGACTAAAAGTGTGTTTTGGGCATTTGTTAAACTTGCTGTTTGAAACTGATTAGTCATCATGGGATTGTAAGTTTAAAATGACCTGGAGCTAAGCAGACAAATAAATGCACACTGCCAGAAACAAAGCATGCTATAAACATTCTTCATGTGCTTCTAGTGGGATTGAGGCTGCACTTAATGGAGTGAACACTGACAATCTGACAATAGAAATTTATAAAGCTGGGATGGGCTCGGAGATGAAAAACAAAACAGACAAGATCTGGTTTCTGTGGTTGACCAGCCCACTGCCTGCTAGTGCCTAATGTTGTTTAAGTTACAAAAACTCTGACCATTATATGATCGGATAATAAGCTGCCTGTGGCATAGCAGCTACACGGCTGAACAGTTCTTAATGCGTAATGGTCTCTCCTGCATTCTCATTGAAAATGAAAGGAAGGGCACCACTCTGGTGGTAATGGTGGTAGTGGAGGGAGGGACTGCCTCTCCTTCTCACGTTACCAAGCTATAGCGAAGTAGCGAGATCAGCAAAGAGCCAACTGCGCCTCATGACCCTGCCTCCTCTTCCAAATGTGATAAAACTCAGCTCAGAGGCCCATTACGCGGCGATAGAAGGAACATTTTATATCTCACTCGATTTCCTTTACGCACAGGGCCGCGGTGAGTGCATACCAACGCAGCGGTAGATGGAGATCACAATGGGAACAAAGCGGTGTGCCACAACTACGCATGGTCGCTCCATTTCGTGAGTGACGGCGTCAGCTGCGGAGCTGTTAGAAGAATCTTCTCATGGGATTTGGCGGTTGCGAGGCGCCTGATCTGGAGGCAACGTGAGGAGCACACATACCTCCAGAAAACAGGGCACTACAAGGCTCTCCCTTCGTGCACCTGACAGCTGCCGAAAAGCTGACACCGCACCGGTGAGTACCGGCTGGTAAGAGAAGTCACCGGGAGAGAGGAGAATTCATTTTTTTTCATCCAAGCACAAGCAGGCAGCACCTTCAAAGCGAAACGGCGGTGGGTACGTAGCATGGGAGCGCTATGTTGTCCAGGAAAGGACTCATTCCTGAAGATTACTTGCTTACACGTTTGGCCGAGGATGTTCTGCAGCCCAAGTTCAAGGCGAAAGCGGGCAAGGCTCGGTTCGTCTCCAAGAACGGCACATGCAATGTGGCGCATACCAACATCCGAGAACAGGGCCGATTCTTGCAGGATGTGTTTACCACGCTCGTGGATTTAAAATGGCTTCACACGCTCATCATTTTCACCATGTCGTTTCTGTGCAGCTGGCTCCTTTTTGGAATGATCTGGTGGCTCGTTGCGTTTGCGCACGGCGACTTGGACCAGAGCGGAGACGACTTTATCCCGTGCGTAACGGATATTCACTCCTTCTCCTCCGCGTTTCTGTTCTCTATAGAGGTCCAAGTGACCATCGGCTTCGGGGGCCGGATGATCACGGAGGAATGCGTCTCCGCTATCATCATTCTGATCGTGCAAAACATCGTCGGGTTGGTAATCAACGCCATCATGCTTGGCTGCATCTTCATGAAAACCGCTCAGGCCAACAGGCGCGCGGAGACGCTCATTTTCAGCAAACACGCTGTTATCTCCGTCCGAAACAACAAGCTCTGCTTTATGGTTCGCATCGGGGATCTGAGGAAAAGCATGATCATCAGCGCCACCGTGCGAATGCAGGTTGTCAAGAGAACCACCACGGAGGAGGGTGAGGTGGTGCCACTAGACCAACTCGACATACACATGGATAACCCAGTGGGTACCAATGGCATCTTCCTGGTATCTCCCCTCATCATCTGTCACATAATTGACAAGCACAGCCCCCTTTACGAGCTTTCAGCCTCTGATCTGTTACACCAAGACATAGAGGTGATCGTTGTGTTGGAGGGGGTGGTGGAGACCACCGGTATCACCACCCAGGCCAGGACGTCCTACGTGTCTGAGGAGATCCTGTGGGGACAGCGCTTTGTGCCTACAGTGTCCGAAGAGGACGGCATGTACGCAGTGGACTACTCCAAGTTTGGCAACACTGTGAAGGTCCCAACGCCTTGCTGCAGCGCTAAGAAACTGGATGAGGCAGGTGGCATCGCTCGGTTTAAACTGACCGAGGGCGTCACCTTGCGGGCGTCAGTAAGAAGACGTCGGGGCTCTGCGGTGGCTCGAAGGTCCAGGCTGGAGACCATGAAAGCTCACGATTAAGAGTGTGAAAATCATGTCTGCGAGCATTTTGTATGAGTGTTAACAGTCTAAGATTGGTGGTTATAGATTCAGATAATCATATTTATTTTATAACATAAGACAGGGATTACCTGTAATCAACAATCAGCATATTCTCTGCAGCCGTATGCAGCCCGTGCGCACAACATGCTTTTATACTCAGGGTCAGCGTGAAAATGAGATAGAATGCACTGATGATTAGAAGTGACTGTTGTATCAGCTTGCCTTTTATTTAAAGAAAAAAGTGACTGCATGTGTCCTAAATAAATAAAAGAACGCTGCTAGAAATGGTGTTGTGAATGGGTCACAAGACGGAAATGAAATTAGAACAATGAGGCACTCCCACAATTAAGCAAGGCGTTCTCAACATGCGGAAGAACTCATTAGTATATCCCCTGATTTTACACAGCATAAGATATAGCACAGTAGGCTGTAGCACTAAAAAAAAAAAAAAAAAAAAATCTGCACTACAGTTTCTCATTACTCTTGTCGATGGCTACATAGCTGCCAGCTACTCTGACAAAGATTAAAATACAAACAGTCAAAGATCAGGGCTGAAGAAGCAGTCATACCCAAACCCAACTCTACAGGCTGGATCAAACTAACCTTACAGTTCCCACAGTACAGTCAAAAGAATCATTTACATTTTATGAGATCGCATTTTCCACTTGCAGAAAAAAGGCGAAATGTAAAGTATAAAATATATTTATTACAGAAGCATCGTGGATGAGATTGTGCTATACTCAAGTATGACTTCCCTCCAGTTAGCTCTTTTCAAGTTTCACATGTATCCTTCCACAAAGTCTCTCCAGATAAGCAACCAAAGGTTTTGGCATTTTCTCCCTAAACAGACAGGCAGCCAGACTGCCCTCGAGGTCTCCACAGAGGTCAAACAGAAGAAAACTGAGTTCTTCACTCTCCAAAAAAAAGATATCTTTTGCCTGCCTCCCATCTTCCATTCATTCTAACAAGCTTCTGGTCATACTAAAGAACCTTTGATCACCATTACAAAAGGGTCAACACATGCTGAGTAGTATTTTATCTTAGGAGTGAGGTGGAAACAGAAATTCCAGTGTGAAGTTGGTGGAGTTCCCATTAAAATACTCACATCAGGCTGCTTCTTCAATTCCCACAAAAAACAAAAACAAACAAAAGACACAGAGACAGCTGGCATTTCTCTCTTTTATTAGATTATAATCCGCAGAGCTTAAAATATTAAATTGCTTTTAACTTAGTTAATAATTAAAATACATAAAAACAAGAGCCAGAACTGAGGAACCCTGCAAAAAAAGTTAAAATAAATAAAAAAGGAGAATTATAAATTGAATCCTCCTCCATACAGAGGCTATTTCTGACAGAACCCGCTTGTGATTCTTTGTACAGTAAAGTCCAAGCAGACTGTGCATTTTCTATACATGTGTAATGATACTGTTATCATTTCCAAAGTAATTTTTCCTCTGATATATATATAAAAAAGCAAATTTAAAGGGACTGGTAAAAATAAAATAGATTTTTATTTTGCACTGGAATTACTGGTTTAAACAGCAGAGCAGCGTCACACCATTGCCCTCACCTCTCACTCCATCCCTCTCTCCCCCTCTCTGCGCCTGCAGACATTACCTCATGTCTTTGTCCTTCTGTGCTGCTGGAGTGAGTGGGTGGAGATGGTGTTGGTGGGTTAAGGGGCTGCTGCTGTGTGAGACACCAGCAAACAGCTCTGATTCACCTTATGCAGGCACCAATCTGTCTCAAAGTCTCGATTCTCTGATAGGATTAAATATCTCTCATACAATCTTTATATTCTCTTCTCCGTCACCCTGTTTCTGTGGCATCTTCCACATCTTTGCTGCCCTCTAAAGGTAAGCTCTGGGATATTTTTGTTAAGGGGTTCCCCTGGTGATTATTTGACTATATTGTAGTTAAACACAATCGACATCTGTCTGAGCAGTCTGGTGAACAAGGGATAGAGAATGAAAATGAGTAGAGTCTCTCTGGCAGCAGTGACGTATTCTCTCAGGTCCTGAGTAGGAAGCGCTTTAATCATCCCCCACATAAACAACCCAAAACAGTGATTGGCTAGTATCGCCCCTGTCAGGCAGTAACATGGCTCCCTACTGGCCAGGGTAGTGGCCGTGCGCCTGTCGGCCGCCTCCCACTGTCGAAGGGGGGAAGGACAAGCCCACAAGTCAGCAGAGACGCCTCTTCTCCACACATCAACAACACTGTACAATAGTAGGTCGAAGCAAAGCAGAGCCCCCCTTCCTGTACTGTATGTTAGGCAGAGGATAGAGGGAGGTGAAGTGCTGACAAACACACTGCACCTCCCTCTCAAACCAAAAATAAAAAGTCAACAAAAAATAAAAGAAAATAAAAACAAACAAAAAAATAAAACACATACTTTTTGTTCCTAGTTTAAATTGCAGAGAAGGTGGGAGGAATTTGTCCCTTGGAGGAACGCTCACGCCAATTCCTGCTGGCGTGACAAACTCCTCCCCTACCCACCACCCCCAACCCTCCCCCTTGAAAAATCCCCCCTCGCCCCTTTTCCTTCCGGCTGGTTGGTTGGAGTTGTAGCGAAATATAAGGGTAGTGGAAGGTCTCTTAAGTCCTGCTTGCACCAGGGCCTGGCTGTCTGTCCTTCTCCATCTGATCTTCTAACACCCCCGCGGCTGCCGTTTCACCACCGCCCCCCCCGCTCATCTCTCCGTCACGTGGTTTTGTGAAGAAGGGGAGGGTGCTGTGGCGGAGGGGGCCGGGGTTAGTGCTGGCAGCGGGGCAGGGGTGCAGAGGATTTCGGACAGGTCGTCCATGATACAGGTCTCCTTGGGGTCGACCAGGTTGAATTCCCTTACGAAAACGATGAAATGTGCATACAGAGTGTTCAAGTGGCCCTGCAGTTCCAGAGCTACCGTCTCTTTAAAGTGCGCCCAGTAGAGGTGAGCCAGCACGTGGAACAGGTACCGGCAGATCTTCTTTACCAAGGACTCAAAGGAGTTGGGGAACTCTTTGCCTGAAGCGAGAAAAAGACAAAAACAATAATAACTAAATGACTGAGCTTTTGGCAGTATTATGAACTGGCTCATGTTGCCAGTCCCTGAATAAAATATTATAACTTGGTGTGAATGTAAAACTAAAGATGCAGCACTGCTGTAGGTTTGCATTTAGTGTGAGTTATTTAAAAAGTGCTGATAATATTCATTGTTTGCAAAGCCTTTTGATTGCAATCTACAATTTCTTCCTGCCGTTGCTCAATGGACTGCTGCTGATTTATGGTACCCTACACTTCCACATCTGCACCAGCAGGGGGAAGTAAAGTGCTTTAACACTTCAGAGCTGCTCTGGCCCGCACTCACCATATTTTGTAGGAAAGATTTCCTCATCTGTGACCAGTTTCTGACAAAGACTCATTACAAAGTCTACATATTGTGGAGCAGTGCACTTCGTCTTCTTCCCCTTCTCGTCATACCAGTAGTATATTCTAGAAAGAGAGTAACACAGAGGAAATGTCACAATCCCTGTTATTACAACAACATTAAGACATGAATGGAGAACAGGATGTGATTACACAGCAGTGATCAGAGCTTTAATAATCATAATGAATGCTGCTGAAAGAATGTGTGTGGCTCATGTAGCAGCAGCAGCATTAGCTCAGACAAAAGTGTTTGCTAGAACAACAACAACAACAACAACAACAACAACAAACCTTATTTATATAGCACATTTAAAAACCAGTGGTGTACCAAAGTGCTTAACATGCAAGAGGGTAAGATGAAGTAACAGGGAAGGATGAGGGCTATGGCAAGGTACCAAAACGTGCTAGCAGGTTGAATGGCATTAAAACACACGAAGGCAAAAGAATTGCATATAAAAGCATAAAAGAAGGCTAAGTGTAGAGGATCAAACAGTCAGAAAAAATTAAAAATGAATTAAAAGTAATTAAGAATAAGCCAAAGATAAGAATAAGCGTTAAGCTAACTATCAAGCAAGCGTTAACTGGTAGAAAAGGCGAGGCTAAATAAGTGGGTTTTTAACCGCGTATAGCGATGGGGAGGTTATTCCATAAATCGGGTGCAGCCAAGGCAAACGCGCGGTCACCTCTAGTCTTCAGCCGAGATCTCGGCAGTACCAAGAGTGACTGGGAAGATGATCTTAATGCTCTAGTAGGGGTGTATGATCTAAGTAGCTCAATGAGGTAGCTTGGCGCTATATTGTTAATAATTCGGAAGGTAAGCAGCAGGATTTTGAATTGAATGCGGTAGAACAGAAACGAGCAAGCAGGAAGATAAAATAAAACAAGTGACAATTAGCTCATGAAAAATCACCTGCTTGGTTTCCTCATCGAGGAAAAACCCAGCCCTCTAATCAGAGTATCACTGTATGACTGAAAGTGATACGTCAATCTTATGCACAACCCAGATATTATGTTTACATTTTTTGGCTACAGCGGATCCTGTGACTCTGAGTTTTAATTTCCTGATCGGGCCACATTGCCTCTTGCTGACACTGATCCCCCGTCAGTCCTGCTGCTGGGCAAACATTTCCGTGGGGGCTGACCCAGATAACTGAATTGTAAGCGGCTGGCTTGGAAACATGGTTAACAAAAGGTCAAACGGGAGGTCAGCAGGCACCTTAGAGATAGATGAATGAGCCACGGGAGGCTTTTCGAGGGCTGTCAGGAGATGAGATGTTGAGACAGAAATGGCAAAATAACCACAGGAACCAGAGATGATCTCTGAGTTGGAAAGGCCAGTGAATAAGCAGATAAAATGTGAGTGCAGGTGTAGCGGTCTGCAGTGCGGCTGTGGGAGGCAGCGGGGCAGACATAACAAAACCTGAGGAATGTAAAGTGTCCACATAGCTGATCCTCCAGGAGGCAACTACTGACCACAACAGCAGGACATGACACTTACAATACACTAACAGACAGACAGTCTAATACTGTGTGCATGTGGGAGACAGGCTAAACTACAAATATACCTGTGCTGCTAAATACACAGAGACAAGCAGACATGGTAAAGATAACACAGTGACTTAGTCAAACCTCATGAACGGGGCACAGACAGCTTTTCAAATTTAATATGCTTTTGCTTAACCTTTAGTTTGTCTCTTTTATAGTGTCCTCGGTTTATAGTCAAGAAGAAAAAGAAGTTATTAAAAAAAAAAATCAAATCGCTAAAATTGTTCGAGTGTGTACAACGAGCGCCTGTAGAGATGTAAGAAGAAATCTGATCACAAAACAAGATTAAATTAAGTAAATCTAATTGAGGATACTTTATAAAACATGGCTTTATGCCCCTTTCAACTTTCTGTCTACTGCAAGTTTTGATTCAATTGTATTTCTTAATTTCCTTCCTCACTTTATTTTGTTTTTAAATACTGACTTACACAAAAACTGACTGTGCAGTGAATGTTTAGCTTCGAGCTAAGTGACTGGATAATGTTTTTTTATTCTTTCCTAATGACGTACGTTTTTATAACAATGCTGAAGAAGTGGGTGTATTTTCAGAAACAGAATCTAAACTGGAAACATCTATAAGAACTCAATGTATAGTGAACACAGTGAGCACTTCTATCCACCCACCTACACAAAATGGGTCTAAATAGTTACCAAATGGTTCTGGTGCCTTCAGAGCTCATGGAAACATTTTCTTCCAAAAATAGTGCTCAGCTCTGCCCTTGGGCAGGGGCACTGACGCTGCTGCTGTGACTGGGCCTCAGTCAGTTTTAACCACAGAGGGCGGCGCGTGCCAGGTCCTGCATAGGCAGGAAAAGGCGGGGTGCTGGGTACCAGGCAGCAGAAAAAGGTACAATCCTAAATGCTGGGCTTACATTTGGAGTTCAGACTATTTTCATTTTCACTCCAACTCTGCGTCTTTAATATTCAAGACATTAACTCACAAACAAAAACCTGTTAATCTGCTCCAACGCCTCCTCCGTTCAAATACCGCAGGTGAAGCATGTTTGTCTTATTTGTCAGGGTGTGGGTTAGAAGCAGTAGCTCAAGGTGACAACAGTGGAAAACTTCATTGTCTGACAGCTGAACTCGTGATTACTGTCAAACACCAGGTTGTTTGTCGATCTCTCAGAATTCGGCTTGAGTGATTGCATTACTTACAATGTGTTAAGAGGTGTTTAGTGATTTTTGCGGTTTTTCAAAGTGTGGCTAATCTAGTTTTTCGAGCCTTCAGCAGACACAGGGGAAAAGAAGGCCTCTTTTTAAGAGTCAAGGCCTCATAAAAAGACTGCACCAAACCTCAACAGGGGAAGCAAGTTCAATAAATACTTAAGAGTTAGTCATAATCCCCTTGTGTTAACATGAGATGGATACACCTCTGTCAGGATTATCCTAAACAAACTAATGTAAAATATGCCTAATTTACTGCACATAGTAGTGATAAACCAGTTTAGTACAAAAGGTATGGGTGTAAAAACGTGACAAGTTTCAAAAAATATCCTGTGTGGTGACTTCAGAGCGATACACATTTCAGCCCCTGGACTGGAACCGATTGCTAACAAATGGCAAGAGATTAAAGGCAGACATCCTGGTGACACTTTGATCAGAGAATCAAGGAAATGTGTGTGTGTGTGATGTGAGTGTAATGATATTAGCAGGGTTCAGACAGCAGCAAAAATCACAGGCTGGACTGCAAGGCATTGAAGTTGAACCTGGCCCAGGCTACAGTTATTAGCATGTGGACTCTACATTTGCCAGACTACATCAGGTTTTCGTCTGTGCAAGCCAGTGATAATAATGAAAAGAGGAAAACTAGTGCTTAAAAAGGCCATGCCTTGGGTGCAACATCTAAGCACATCAAAGCACAGCAGCCCTAACCTTCTGTTTGTGAGGGGCAGCCAATCAGAAAAAAGTTGACTTAATAGGTGAGTGGCCTTAAAGGCCCCCTTCCCAGACCTGAGAACCTGGATGAAGGACTAGTGTAAAATAAGGATCATTTTTGAACTGCCAATCATGCTAATAAATTCACAAAATAATATGAAGCTTCAGATGAGCTGAACAGATCTCCTTGAAAGCTTTAAAATACGCACATTTCTATACTGTGTGGGTAGTTAGAAGACCGAGCACCTCCTCGGGGTTGTGAGTTCGCCCTTGCTGACCAGAGAAACGTTGCTTAATGAATTATCCAATAGGACACCAGATTTCTGATGAATAAACCAATAAGGGCTCTCCAGGTGAGTGATGAATAAACCAGAAGTGTGGGCGATAACTTACGTGTTGCAGGCCGTCATGGCTTGACAGATCTCCCCAGTGCAGAACTCTGAGATAGTGCTGTACTGAAGGTTGATAAGATTGAAGAATGTTGTTGCTGTGGGAAAAAGATGAGAGAGCACAAGACTGTTGGTCATCCACAACACAGGAATTATAACAACACTAATGCACAGGCATGCCAGTGGGTGAATGACCGTAAGAAGATATGTTATTGTCACGTTCTTCTTTGGCTCGTGAGGACACACCTAAAATTGTATACGCAATGCTTAGTGGGAAGTCAGAGTCACATGCGCACACACTAATTCCAATTATCACATCCTTCAAAAGATGTTTTTGTTTCTGATTCACACAAAGAATGGGAGGGAGGCTTTGACAAGCATTCACCTAAAACAGACAGGTATTTTTGCTGCAAGGTAGAACTCCTGCACAGCCTTATACGCTTGCACAACAGTGTAACAAAGCAAAGCTGGGGTCTATAGGGGCTCAAGAAAACTATTCAACTGTCAACATGCTTGCAAGGCATGTTAGTTGTAGGAAAACCCATCCATCTTACTTGTAGTGTGAGACTCCTTAAGTAATACGTCTTCTGTGACTGTGTTTTTTTTTTAAAGCTTTGAACTACTAGAGGGACTCCCAATGTAATCATCTCCAACAACAGGAGACATAAATACGCTAAATAAGGCAAAATGTCAACCGATATTTACAAAGGAAAGAAGTAGATCCCTTGCTATTCCTATTAGGATTAAACTACCATCCCACTAGTTCCCACACATTTTTCCCCCTGCGCAACATAGAAGCCTGAAGTTGGAAAATATTTAATATAAATGACATCATTATTTATTTGGTTACAGGAAAAAAAAAAAAATCTAAACATTGCTCCACCCAACTGAGTTTCCTGGAAGCTAAACCTCAGTCACTGATGGATACATGCAAGCTTGTGTAACCTAATTTTCATGGTGAAAAACTTATCGGCATGTGAAATCACATCTGTTGTTATGCAACAGTGTTTTATTAGCTAAAATAAAAAGGAAAGAAGAATTGCACCCCACCCCCCCTGCACGCACCGTAGTGGTTTGGATATGTAACCAAAGCAAAGCCAAAAAGAAAGTCTGAGACTGATCCAGCTGCCAGGTCACAGAAAGCTGAATAAACTCCAGAAGCGACGCTCATAATGGCAAATATACATTCTGGTAAAGGCTGACACGCTGCACTGACAGTGGCTGTAAATGGTGGCGTGTAGTGTTGCACCGGGAACAGTCTCTAAACTGTGCCAGGCCTGGATCATGTTAAAGGCTTAGCTCCCTTGTCCTACTTGTTATATCCAGGTGAGTGACAAGCGCATATAGATGTGGAAAGCAATTCCAAGCCCCCGAGAAAACATTACAAGTGGGTGCAAACACCAAGCTCGATCAATGAGTACGGACCTCACTAAATGTCTTTTAAATGCTGAGCATCTACAAGTGTCCAACTCTATTGTTCAAATTTGTCACGACTACCACAGTCAAAGGCACTCACTGTTGCTGGCTAGCCATTCGTTGAGATCTATCTCTCTGGGCAGCACCACCAACTCCTTAAGGTCGAAGTCCACCACGCGGACCTTCGTGAACTCTGGTTCCAAGTACTGTTTCTTCTCTTCTGCTGGTGGCTTCTTTCCATTTGGCTTCGTTTTGGACTTCCTGGAATATAGAAGACAACAGGGCAGATTAATTAAATGATAAGGGTGCCGATAAGGCAAATACAAGATAAAGTGAAGCGGGAGAAGAAATTTACTAGTGCCTGAGATTTATGCCAGCTGTAAAACTACAGTTTAGTTTGAGTCTGTAAAGAATGAAAGTTGCTCAGGCTGCTGAAAAACCCCACATATATTCTACAACCAGCCTTTCAAGATGAGCTGGTCAAATGATAAGCCAACAGCAAATATAGAAACAAAACAGCCCAAGTTAGTACTTCAGTAAAATTCCACTGATAAACAGGGAAGTCAGCATAAAATAACTGGTATGCATCCAATGCATAACAGATTGCAAAAATATCAGTTATGAAACACAAACGTTCTGTGACTTTTCCATCGTTTGATTAACAGCAGCCTAAAGAGACCAAACAAAAGAGCCCTTTGTTACTGTACCTATCCTCCAACTCTGGCTCAATACCGAATGTTTGTAGAATAGCTTCTATAAAGGCAGCCATCTCCAGCTCCTTGTACTTCCACTGTTAGTTTTAGCGCTGCAATGTGATATTGCACTCTGCCAGAGTTCCCCGGGCTGAGCCCTTTCTTCCCTCAGCTCCTGCTCAGTGAAGGCATTGCCTTCCTGGGTTAAAGGTTGAAAATCTTAACAAGCAGCAGACTTTGCGCAATCAACTGTCCACCCATCTTCCTTTTTCACAATTTTAAAAGTTAGGACTAATAATAACCAGCTTAATCTGCTATTCCATTCAAGCCTTTCCACACCCTGTAAAGACTATTATTCTTCTCGATTATACATGCGTCTTTATTTCGCTCCTACTTGCCAGTGCTACGCTGTTTTGGTTTGCTGAAGGACAAAGGAGGTTCAGTTTGCTCCTTAAATTTATTGTGCTACTGCTGACCTTCATTTCCAGCCTTCTTGAACTTATTGCAAATTCCCCTCATCCTCGTTTCTCCACAACCTCCAAACACAATGATCCATCAATGTGTTCTCGGCTCTTGCCTTCTCTCCTTTACTTCCTGTTCACAGCTCACCCCACTGGAGTTTACAGGAGGAAAGTTAATTGGCTGGTTTTTCTGCATGAAAAAGGGTATTAAATTCATGGAAGAAGAGCAAAAGAGAGCAGGCAGAAGTAGAAAGGAATGGAGAGAGGAGGGAAGATCAACACAGGCCCAGCTGATATCCATGGGAACTAATAAACACTTTCAAAACACGACTGGACTGTAAAGCACGAGGCCTCTTGGCCAGAGCTCCGTGTTCAAAAGCCTTTCACTGTTTAATTCCGTTCTCCAGGAAGCATCGCCCAGCTTTCCACCTCAGCAAACAAGGAAAGGCATGTCAACATAATACAGACGGATACAGAGCCCTGGAGCTTTTTGCTTTGTAAATGTTTAAGACACCCCCGCCCCCATTTCCTTACATGTTCACTGTCTCCTAATTTATCTGTCAGACAAATGCTTAGCTGTAAACTGTCTTCTGGATGCATCTGAAAACACTGAAAGACTCACACTTGCATAGTCACACTCGCAGACACACACCAAAGGTTGCAAAGGTGCTAAAGGTTCTTGTTTGTTGGGAAATTATTCGGATGTTTCCGTCAGGCAGTACCTGAGCTCGTTTTGGCATCATTTAGAAAAAACAAAAGTAAAACCACAAAGACACTGGAGATTACACGCTGATGGTTAATTATTAATGACAGGCTACTTTCACCAGTTGCTCCACTCATCCGTCTTAAGGCATCTTTCTGTCCTTTCCTCCCATCCTTCTCTCCTCACAGCACCATTTGCACTGTACTTTGAATCTACGACGTAGGTACAGTGCAACTGTAAGCTGCAACTATCTAGACTTACTCGTGATTGTCCTGCCCAATCAGCTTTCAATTTACCCCACACTATGAACTGTACCGAGTCAGTTTTAATTGCCAATCTTTTTTTCACATTTAAAGTTCCTTCAAGTGCTTGTTTTTTTTCCATATCTCCTTATCGCCATCTGCTTCCTTCCTTTAGCCAAAACAAACAGAAAATACCCCCCTTCCCTCTCATGAGGGCACAGACATATTCATGTGGTCTGTGTGGTTTTGCGCTGTAAGCTACATGTTCTATCACGTGAAAAAGCTTTTCCCGACAAAAGAGCTTCATCTTTGGATACCATAAGCTCTCACAGCTTTTCAAAGGTTTTGCTAAGCCTTTCAGAACAACTGGTCAAGTCCTGTGAAATGATCCTTTTGAAAACATTGTTTCACTGAGCCATTTCCTGCCTTTCTTTTTGCAATTTCATAATTTTCCCACACAATTGCCTCCTCCAGTTCTTACGAATATTTGAGGATAAGGGGAGGTGATAGTCTGTAGCCATTAGTTTATTTTAGAAAACTTCCTCTTTGCCAGCACTCCTCCCTTCACACAACTTTCTGATTGGTAATGTTCTCCAAGGCAAGTTTTTGCCATAAAAGGCATCAGATGCCTCTTTCTCCTCGCCAGATCAGGGGCAGATCAGGGCAATCCAGAAGTCAGGAGTGTGGGGGAGAAAAGGAACGTGTGCCTGGCACCAGCAGAAGCAGGTCCACGATATGGCCTCGTAATCGAGAGATACATTTAAACCTGATTTATATACGAGTGGATGGCGAGAAGCAGGAAGAAACACCTGCTGGTGTTTATCTGCAATGAAAACAAAAAGGAAATAGGGCTGTTATACAGGTTAGGCAAAGTTCAGTGCTGCAGAGCTGTGGAGTAACTGACCCGACAGCTGTTCAACTCCATCCGTTATCCACTCTCACCCTTTCACTTTTCCCAGCAATGCCACCTCCCCCACCATCAAGCCATCTTCTCTCACTACCTTTCCTCTTGTACAAGAGCAAAAGTACAGAGCAAATGCACTGTGTGTGTCGCGCGCAGACACACACACACACCCATAGCAGTAGCCCCCTTTTCCTTTTCACAGACAACCCAGCTGGTGACAACAGCTGTGTCGTGAGCCTGATCCCACCAAAGAAAAACTAGAAGAAGCAAGTTCTATCTGGTCTGAAAGACTGTTTGTGTAGACATGTGAGCATCAACCAAGCCAAACATGCATATACATGACGTGCAAATGTTAACTGCTGATTATTTTCTGACTGTGGGCCAAATAAATCCTGAATACGCTTGGTTCTTACAAAAGGCTCATCTAACAGAAAAGGAGGAACCTCTTGGACTTGCTTTTGGCGTACCTACATCTCATTACCAGAATCTGGTTCCAATTAATCGTGCCATCGGATGGGGCTACATTACCGCACCATCTTGGAGAATTAACTACAGTAGTTTCTCTAACACCATAAATTGGCGACTAAACCGCTTCAGGAGTATTCAGAACATGCCGACTTCTTCTTTCCATAGTTAATCATCTCCATATCACCAAATCACTGACATTAATGCTTTAAAAAGAAAAACAAACAAACAACATTTTCAGTTTTTCCTGGTTCTTTCTGTGAGCTGAACACAAACAAAGAAAACCTGTTCAACAAAACCCATGTTCCTCTTGAGCCTCTGGCTCCCGGCGAGCAAAATATTACACAACTGTTGCTTGAATTGGCTTTTTGGATAACAGCGGTATCCAGCGAGTGGCATATGGACGCTTTAATGCAATCTGGTCGGGTGACACTGACAATTTTTACCATTTTCTTTAAGACAGCTGCTTTCTATATGAAGAGCTTTGATCTGACTGATAAAAAAAATAAATAAATCAAATGCACTGGCACATTAAACAAAATATAAATATAAAGTAAAAAGTAAAACAAAAAAACAAACAAATCAGCACTGGCATCCACTGGAGGTCATACAGCAAGGAAATAAAGCCTTACTATGTGCCCAGACCTTAAACACACGTCATAGTTTAAGGATCAAGTCATATATTGAAGTGCATCTCTAATTTATTTCTCATTTCTAAGCCCATTATTATACTAGTCAAGTTTAAAAAAGTGTGATAAAACTCAGAATAATACTGAAATTTAATGATAAGGCCAGAACAGAGTGAATGAACTCTGCTATTTTGTTAAATAAGCAGCTTTCTCCAAGTCTGCTGATCTATTTCAGGACTTAAATTAAATAGACCCAATGGCACCCTGCCCTGAAAAACCACAAAGAGGGAAAAAAGCAAGCAGTCTGAGCGCACCAAAGCTCCACCACAGCAGCCATTACAGAGCTTACAAAAGAGACCGACTTAAGGATCGACTAAACCTGAGGTTCATCCTTGTTAAGTCAGTACTGCCTTATTCAGAGTTAAGTATAGTTTTAATATTTTGCCAATTTTAGTTTTTGGACAAGAAAACAAAAACTACAACAGTGCAGCTGTCACCACTTAATCAACGGCTTTACTGGGGATGAAAGCAGCCTCACAAATGAGTAAATGAGGACTGTAGCCAGGGTGCGGACCTAAACATATGTAAATGTAAACACACACACACTCCATCTACTAGCCCTGTTCTAGCAACTTCTCCTTGTTATCCTATCAAACATCCCATTTACTGGCTCTCAGTCTACCAAAATATGCAAGGAACCCCTGTGAGCACCACATTCGAGCCTCATCATCATAACAACACATGTGTAACAGGAAAAGGGTTTGGGACTTAACCACCTGTGAGTGTAATCTTGAATTGATTTAACACAATAGGAAACAACATACTGAAATAAAGCACAATTTCTCGACACCAATCATCACCAACCATCAATCTACTTGTAGAAAAACGAGAACGGGTAAGGCATAAATACCTAAAAGCCATCTTAGTAATCTTTTGTCTAACCTCTACTCATAACAGCGTCTAAGTCAAGGGCATTGAATCAGTGACTGAAGGAGGAAATAGGATTATATAAGGTCGGTGTTAACTCAAACAGGGTAATTTTATTTAGGTTTTACTGAAGATTTCTGAAACTATCCCCCCCGCAAATACATTAAGGCTGTAGTTTCTCGGTGATCAGCACATTTCTTGAGCACGGGTGTTGAGTTCACAAGAAAGACTGAGCAGA